TAAAAAGCTTTATTTTCTTTTAATCATATAAAAACTCAAAATGACCGTGTAGTAACAAAATACTATCAACGCTATGACAACGGCTTTCAAGGAACAGTTCACCCCAAAATTAAAATGTTGTCTTTTTCTTCACCCTTATGTTGTTTCTGTATGATTTTTATTTCTTGTTTGAAACATAAAAGAAGAAATGTCTGTTTTTGTCCACGCAATGGGTTAATGGTGCCCAAAACTGTTTGGTTACCAACATTCTTCAAAATACTATCTTTTATATTCCACAGAAGAGGCGGTGAACGACATGATGACAAGTGTTTCATTCCTGGTGAACTATTCCTTTAACAATATCAATCCACTATGTTAATCAGCTGCATTTGGGAACTGTGCATAAAGGTGGCAAAAAAATAAATAAAGTAAACTTATATTCTGGCATCAACAGTGTCAAGTCAGTGGCACTTGAAAACTAGTGTCAAACACCTTTATTATCACAACTAGTAACGTCAGGTCTTACTTTAGATAGAGAGTAACCAAAAATATGAACATTATATTAAATATTTGTTTACATGTTCTTCAAGTTGTCTGAATGTTGAAGTTGTCTTTATGAAGTATCCATAACCAACAAACATATTACAGAAAACACGCCACATTATAGCTGCCGGTCATATTTATCCATCTAAGAGTTTGAGAATACTTTCTCTCTCTTTCAAAGCTTTCCAAGCCTGATCTTTCTCTTTTTTCGTTGGAGTGCGTTTCTTTTGCCTGGCTGCCATGATGCGACGGAATGCCTCCATAACCTCGTTATCGGCCACTCGAACCCGCTGTCGAAGCTCCTGTTTTCGCATTTCTTCCCGTGCCAACCTGCAAGAACAGGGTGAAAGTAAAAAGTGACTTTCCTAATCTCACATTAATCCTGGTATTTCACAAAGTATATGGAAAAAAAAAAAAATACTGTACTAAAAGATATATATAAAAATACACACTTGACTGCTTTCAATACAGCGAGCTCTCTAAGTAGTCATCTAAATAAAACTATAGAAAGAAAATCATAACTTGTCACATCAGACTGCTCCCTCTAACTCTTTGAAAGATTACAGGCTTATTTTCACCAGCTAGTCTTCATCTTGTGCTGACAGCAGTTTTGATCTGGATCTGAGGCTCTTTGGCTGAGACTCACTTGAGCAGCTCCTGCTTGCGCGAGCGGTTGTGTGCGGTTAGCGCTTTGAGTTCAGCCTGTCTTTTCTGCAGCTCGGCCAGCACTTCGTCTTCAGACTCTCCTCCGACACCTTGCCTCTCATCAGAGTCCAGCAGCCCCTGAGACACCAGCTCCTCTCTTATACGAGCCTCCAGAGAGCGTGTGTGAGGCACACTGGGAGCAACAGAACACGAGAAAATGTACTTTATTCATGTACACCATTACTATTTTAAAGAAAAAGTATAGAAATAATCTTTCATCAAAATGCTTTTGTTTCACTTTCCTTTATGGACGATTTCACCCAGGCAATATAGGCTATTGAATAATGTTCACCAATAGCCAAATATATAGTTTTCCTATATTCTGGTCTACTTATCACCATTCAATCCTGATGGATAAAATACATGTTTTTCCCCTTACTGAATACTCAGTTTCACTCAAAAATGCATCACATTATAGAAGTAAATAGAGTTGGGAGTGCTGATATCATGTTGACTATAAAGAGTAAAAGATAGAGAGAATGAAGATTGCCAATTTAGCTAAAAAGGGAAGTCAATGGGGAAAAAAATTAACTATTTTCAAAATCAACTAGCTGGTGGGTTGCCTGAACAGCTAGTTAACTAATCAATCTTAATTGCCCCTAAATGATTAGACTGCTTTCATAAGATGCGTTGTATTACAGTAATAGAATACAGTTTGACAAAGCACAACAAAATAAAGTGCTAAAACTGAGTAATTTTAACTTCACATGTCATCTTCAAAGAAAACAGTGGCAAAAACATCCACCTGAATGTGAAAGTACTGCTGGTGCTACTTGTTTAGAAAGAATACAGTAAAATGATCAAAAGTCACAGTAACGATTTTTAATGTTTACAAAATATTTATATTTCAAATAAATGCTGTAATATTATACTTTCTATTAATTAAAGACTACTTAAAACATTAAATTAAAAAAGTAAATTAAAAAAAAATTAAAAAAACGTTTTTGAGCATTAAATCAGCCTATTAGAATGATTTCTGAAGGATCATGTGACACTGAAGACTAGAGTAATAATGATGCTGAATATTCAGCTTTGCCATCACAGAAATAAATGACATTTTCAAATTTCTTTTAAATCATAACATTTCACAGCATTACCGTTTTTTATTGTATTTGTAGATCAAATAAATTCAGACTTGGAGAGCAGAAGACATGTATTTCAAGAACATTAAAAAAAAAAATCTTACCAACCCAAACTTTTGAATGGTAGTCTAAAGAAACATGTAAACATCACTAACTGACTAAATCATAAAATAAAACATTTACCTGAAGGCTTTACCCTGGCTACGAGGCGATGTACCAGCCCCATCATCCTTCCCTGGAATGTCTGGAATGGGGGAATCCTCCATAGGGGATATGATGTTTTCCTACATATTTGAAAAAGGATATGACTAAAACATAAGCTGAGCTGACTAAATATTGCACAACTTGTACTTATTTTAGCACATGATGAGTCACTGACCTCAACAAGTGCTTGTAGAAGCCGCTGAGTAAGAAGGCCAAAAGGACAGCCGTCCTCTGGAGGTTCATGCTGAGACTCCGATTTCTTCAGTAAGGCATCTACATCTGCACAAACCAGAATAGTAGAAGATAAAAGCAACAGATTTAAGGCTAGACGCAACAAAAAAATGACAATGTTGCAACTGGAATCTCATCTTAAATCACAACATTACCTTTAGCATCCAGTTCGGAAAGAGGACCCATCATGCTTTTTTTCTTGTCATTGGCTCTCGCCCCCTCTCTTTGCTCCTCCAACAGGTCCTCTTGAGCCCAGCGTTGGGAATAGTGCTTTCCGAGGGCTGGGATCTTGCAAAGAAAGCCAACAGTGAGTGCTCAGATGTGAACAACCAACACAAAAGCCATATAACATGCATTTTCCCTGAGTACAGAATCAGTTAAAGGAAAGGAAAGCTGCAGTAATGTAGTGCAGGAACTGGTTTCTAAAAGATCTTTACCTTGTAGTATTCAGCTTCATCATCAGGGGGTTTGAGCAGCTCTTCCAGAACTCTGATTTCTTCATTTGTGATGTCTGCACAGTAAGGCTCCACCGAGGCCCAGAATCTGTTTTACACACATGTATAACCACAAATGACTAAATACACTTATCATTCAAACGTTTGGGGTCGCTAAGATTTTTTAAATGTTTTTGAAAGAAGTCGTCTCAACAAAACTTTATTTATTTGATCAAAAATACAGTAAAAATGGTATAAGGTATCATAATACTGTGAAATATTAATTTTACAGTATTACAATAACTTTTTTCTAACTGAATATAAGTGAGCTGTAAGCTCTAATCATCATAATTAAAACAAAATTTAAAAAAATTAAACAAAATTACATAATTAAAACAAAAAAATACATTTGAAATGTTTTACTTTACATGTAATGAATCTTCACTTTTTGAAACAAGTTACAAAAAAAAAAAAAGAGAACTTTTTCACGATATTCAAATTTTTTGAGATGCACCTGTATTTTAAAATGTAATTTATTCCTGTGATGGCAAAGCTGAATTTTATCAGCCATTACTTCAGTCTTTAGTGCCACATGATCCATTTATTATTATTATTATCATCCATGTTGAAAACAGCTGTGCTTATTATATTTAATAGTATTGTTATGTTTTTAAGTAGTAATATTTAATAATATTCATATTTTATGTTACATTTATTTATATTTTCGTGTAAAACAAGATATATTTTTTTGGTAAAATAGGAAGTTTAAAAGCATTTATTTTAAAAAAGAGAAATCTTGTGTACATTTTTGTCAATTTTGATCAATTTAATGCTTTTAATTGCTGAATAAAATTAAAGGCTTTTATCTGTGTTTAAATAATATTTGATCTGTATTTAAATAAAAATCTTTGACTGAATACTCATAACTTAATATACAGTGGGGCAAAAAAGTATTTAGTCAGCCACCAATTGTGCAAGTTCTCCCACTTAAAAAGATGAGAGAGGCCTGTAATTTTCATCATAGGTATACCTCAACTATGAGAGACAAAATGAGAAAAAAAATCCAGAAAATCACATTGTAGGATTTTTAAAGAATTAATTGATAAATTCCTCGGTAAAA